CCTTAAATTATTGGAACCAATTTGGGTCTGAATGTTTTGAAGAAGTCCGCCGTGAGCATTTTGAGTCTGAATATAATTTAAAATATATTTTCAAATGCAATCTAATATGATATTCTTTATCAAATTTATAATATCTCTTAGTTTGTGAAATCTAAAACATATTTTTGAAATCGAAAATGTATTTTAAATTGTAAAATTCAAAATACATTTGCATATTTGAATTATGAATTTCAATGTGTACAATATGTAGAAATTATACAAGTCAAAATATCTTTAATCACAGTTTAAACTTTTCTCACGGGGAAAGATAATATTTTCTCACGTTGGGAAGAAGATAAGGATGTGCTATAAAAAATAGTTTTTTTTTTCTTTTTTAAATACATGTTTGATTTTTAAACTTTGATACTAAATTTAAATTTGTTTATGTTTTAAATTTTGATAAAGTTTGATTTTCAAAGTTGAAAAGTGAACGAATATAATTATGTTAATTCAACTACATTTAATTTTTTTCACGCTTTAAATTATGTCTCAAATTTCAATCTGAAATACTATTTGAACGGTTAAGTTACAAAAATTATATATATTTATTTTGATAATATAGGGTTCAAACTATACCAAAATTTAAGATATAAACAATTTCAATTGATTATCAAAGTTTAAAAACTAAAAAACAACGTCCTCTGGTCAAAAACAAGCCTCGAAACCTTTTATAAGAAAAACAATAAACTTTAGTAAATAGAATTTCATAATTGGATTACCACTCGATGGCCACTTCTTCCTACACTCCATAAACTATTCTCCAAACACATTTTTAATCCAAAACTATCACAATATAAAATATATTTATAAGAAACATTTTGGATTGCAAATTCGAAAAATATTTCCAATTTTGAAAATCATTCTGCATTACACAATTTGAGATTGTGCAATTTCAAAATATAAATTTTATACATCAAATTGTGCATTTCGAAATAAAAAAAAAGTATTTCAAGTTAAAAAATATATTTTGAATTATACCTTTTAAAATATAAAAATTTATAATGATTCATATTAAAATGACATAATCATACTTCAAGTGGGTCTAAGTAATTTCTTCTGTCCAAATAAGTCCAATAAATTAACTTGTCAATATTGACGGGTAACCCAATGTTGTGAAGGCTGCTACTTCCTGCACCGATTATTTTTTCTTCTTGCACCTGCCCGTAGGCTTTAATACTGTATAGGATAGAAAGAAAAAAAAAAGTGCTAGAAGAAATGATTTTATTTCATAAAAGGTTTGAGATTTTTGTTATTCGCCTAACATGCTATTTTCTACAACATTTTTCTTCCAAAAAAAAGAGTATTTCTTATCGGCCTTCTGTGTCGAATGATTATTGGCAAAAGTCACATGCCTTGATGGAATAAAATGTTTAATTAATGTTATTAAACTTGTTTGGATACTAAAGGGTAACCATTTATTAGTTCAACTATTTAAATTTAAATTAATGATTAAGGAATTTAGTTTTATGAACCATTACATTAGTACATCTACTATTCAACTAATCAAAATAAATGTGATTCTAAATATATATAATTTAAATAAAATATATATATATAAAAAGTTGAAATTGATAAATAAAAATTTAAAATTATACAAGTTTCCTATTAAATGTTAAAAACCAATCCAAAATAATTTGAATTAGTCTTGCACATGTGTATATATAAATATAAATTTATGAAACTATGAATATTTATATTTTTATTTATTTATAAATTATTATATAATTTATACTAATACGTAAAATTGTCTTGAAATTAATTAGTTCAAAAAAAACATATCTAAATTGAAATTAATTAGGTGAAAGAAACATATCTAAGAAGCGGTTTTGGAATGAAAGATGGTAAATAATATTGAAATAAAATTAAATATTAAGATTTTGTTTTTATATTTTTAATTGACAAATTATTTGTATGTGTTCTGTTGAGAATAAATCATAAGTTATTATTGATTTTCATATTAAACTTTAAGATATTAATGATTTCGAAAAGACGTAGATTTAAAATCGATTATGGATTAGTAAGTCAAGAAAAGAAAGTAGTTTAGGTTGACAAGTTGAAGAAGTGAAGAGGGAATGCTCAAGTTAGTTTTGTTGCTGTAAAATATGAGAGTTATACTTTGATAATGTGATATTATAGTTGGAGACTATGTAGCTCAAGAATGAAGATAAGTAAAACAATGTGAAGTACATCAGAATGGCTGGGTTTAAGAGTGATCAAGAGTGTTAACGATGGGTAGTAACCAGAAGGAATGTGTGATCAAGTCAATTGTTGGGTGTTTGTTAGAGGAATTAAGAGAAGGTCAAGAGAGATCAGTCAAGGGTTGATCTGAAGTCAATGTTATAGGAAGTTTTAGAAGAGATTCACAAGAGACAGTGAAAGGCAAATGGGTGGTGTTTTCAGCTTGGCAAATGCAATTTGGTTGGTTACGTGGAAGAAGGATCCATAAAAGCTAAGGTTTATAGGGAGAATTTGTTTTGAGAACAATGGCTAGACCAATCTACTCTAGTGAACGCTAGAGCATTTTAACACATAGGCAAGGTTTCTATGTCATAAGTTTGTTGGAGAATAGTATGTCGGGTAAGTTAGGTGGTTATGATAGGGAAATGAGGAGAGTGGATTTTTCCTTCTACCTAATAAGAGAATTTTCGATGATGAAAAGTTTTCTTGTTGGGGAGAATGTTAAGATCTGGAAAATGGTATTTTAGAAGTGGTAGTGAGTTAAAAACAATTCTATTATTTTAATATTAAAAGGTTTTAATATAAAAGGAATTATTATAAACGAGTTTCATTATTTTAAAACACATAATATTTCTAGAAACCACTTTTTCAGAATCCGCTGCCTTCTCTCTAAGGGTTCTTGCACCCTGTTCATCTGTTTGAAGATCAAAGACCGCCTGTGTGATTCTTGCAGTGAGATCTTCAAATTTACCCGATCAGTTTATCAAATAGAGTAAGTTAATTTTCTACCATTTTCACTAGTTTTATGTTCTTCCATGCATGTGAAGTTTCTCCTTGTCGCATATATGGTCTGAGCTTTCTCTTACGTTCTCTACTGATCAATGGTTTTAATGGTATACCCTCATCATGTTTTTGATGTATGTAGGTGTTGTTTGATCTCTTTGAGTTGAGGGAGTGGAGTCAGGTTCTTTAGCTAGAGCTTCTAGGAGGTAAGGGAAGCTAAATACCCTGTTTTTAAATTTTAACTAGGTTGATAATACGAGTTGGTATTGATGGTTTGAGCTTGTTGAAATTATGTTGTATTATGGCATGATTGTGTGAATTTGATTAGAAAATGCTTTATATGATATTAAAGAGCTTTGCTGAACTTGTTGGTTGATTTGTGCCTTTTTTTTATTGTTTAAAATGGTGAAGTTGATGTTATAATTGGTTGAAGAATACTGTTGAACCATGAGGGAGTGAATGATGATGGTCTTGGATAGTTTTTAAGTCTTAAATTGGGGTCTTGATAGGTGAATTTCTAGAAAAGGGATTTTGGAGATAAGTTTGATGTTTGGGGTTGATGTTTTGTTCAATTAAGACTTGTTGGAGCGTTAAAACCAATAAAACATAGTGTATTATGCAGTAAAGGAGTTGTGAGGGTGTGGTTGCATGGTTTTATGTGTAACTTAAGGGTTTTAACTAATGAGATTGAAAATTAGAAGGTTTGGACTAAAAGTGAGGGTTTGTAATCTATTTCTGAGTCTATTAGAACTTTTTCCAATTGTTAAGCTATTGAGAAAAGGAAGAAATATCTAAAGGATGAAAGAAACTAGAAAAGGTATGTTAATGTGAAAAAGAAGAAAATATTGGAACGGATCAAATATAAATTTAGGATTTAATGTGAAAATACTATGTGTGTCGAAAGAAGAAAAGTGCAGGAAGAAATGTTTTTATTTCATAAAAGGTTTATAACATTTTTTTATTGGTCTAAAATGATTTTTTTTACTAACATTTTTTAACCGTGAAAAAAAAATAATTATTTTTTACATTGTGTTATGATTATTGGAAAAAACTCATATCTATGAATGAATAAAATGTTTAATTAATGTTATTAAACTTGTTTGCATGTGTATAACTCTTTATTAGTTCAACTATTTAAATTAATGATTAAGGAATTTAGTTTTATCAACCATTACATTAGTACATCTACTATCCCAATAAAAGAATTACAATAGATGTAATTCTTATAATTTAAAAAAAAAAAAAAAATATATATATATATATATATATATATATATATATATATAAAGTTGAAATTGATAAATAAAAATTAAAAATTATATAAGTTTCATATATTAAATGTTGAAAACCAGTCCAAATTAATTTGAATTAGTTTTTTCACATGTGTATATATAAATATAAATTTATCAAACTATCTATGTTTATAATTTTATATATCTATAAATTACTATATAATTTATACTAACATGTAAAATTGTTTTATATTGAAATTAATTATGATATATATATATATATATATATATATTATATGGGGAATGATTTTATGTTTAATGTTTTAATGATTATGTATTATATTTTACTATTAATTGCAATAAAAATATAAAGTTAATAATACGTAGTTTTATATATAAATATTTTAATATTTTAATAATATTTTTATTATAATTAACTGTATATCAAAATTCAACTATTATTTTAGGACAAACATTGAGAATAAGACCATAATGGTAATACAAAAATGATAAAGGGGTTTGATTTAGCCAAATTATCTTGAAATATATATAATTTTAAAAACCAAAAGTTTAAATAATTTATAAGAGATTAATGTTTATACATTTTATTATATAAACAACTTTAATTTTTATACTAAAATACAACATTAGATGAAAAAAAAAGGGTTAAATATGTTTTTAGTCCCTAAACTATTGAGCGTTTCAGGTTTTCGTCCCTCCTTCAAAATAAGGTACAATTTTTTCCTCATTCTTTTCGAAACTTTGGTTTTAGTCCTCGAAAACTAACACTGTTAAAAATGTACTGACGTAGCTAACGGTAGACTGACACACAACTTTTTTTTCAAGTGTTTCACACATTTTCTCCCCTTCTCTCTTCCTTCCATCTTCTTCACATGGAATATCTAAATCCCAAATTTTGAAGATATTGTCAGCGAGTTGCTCCGTCTCATAAGAGGAAGAATCCAGATCAAGCCCAAAATCAATGGTTTTCTCCTCCTTCAGATTTTCATTATAAGTTGGCAAAAAAAGATTGAAAGATGGCAAGTTGGCACTCGTTTCATCATCTGGAATTTTATCAGTGCTTGTTTCTACTAGCATACTTAATGAGTTAACATTATACGTTGAAGACGACTCAGATAAACCTCTCCCGTCAGAAGTTGAAGATTGCTGATTAAGTTCCACAGAAATACTTTCAGAACTGATACGGTGGGGAGGAATTTCTATGTCTTCTCTGTAAAATTTAGATTGGGAACTAATAATTTCTAATAAAGCACTTTTCAAAGGGACTCAATCAGTTTCTCAAATATCAGAAGAATCTTTAACTAGGCAGGAATCAGCCCAAGCTAGATCTTCCGGAGAAAGAAATTGATTCTGCCGAGGAGCTATTGAATTGGCAATGGCAGAAGAAACTGAAATAATTACTTGTGCCAACATTATTAGAGAGAACAAGTCTTTTATTTAGTTGCTTAAGACTCGCCTAATTTTGTGCCATTTTATGTTTTACTTGTGTAACTGCTATGCAGTAGTTAAATTCTGTTTTAAGGCTATTTATAAGCCTGACGTTACAGTAAAATAAACAAGTATTCTCCATACCTTTCTGAGTGTGAAATATACCATTGATATAACAATAAAAATGGTGCTTACACTGGGTCTTTAAATCTCGCAATATCTAAATATTCACTCCTATCTCTGCAAGTTTAAAGCATATCAGCTTTATAAAAATATTGTATGTGAGTAGTTGTTTGGCCCATCATATTTTGTAAATTCTTTTATAATATAAATTTTTTTATTACATTGTTTTCGTACTCAGTAGCTTGAGTTCATGAACACTTTCTTCCGGCCAGTAAAATTTTGGAGGTTATAATCAAGAAAATTAGTTCTCTATGTCCCCCAATATCTAGAAATGAAGATACAATATTCTGGGTGGAAGATGGAAGGAAGAGAGAGAGGGAGAAATGGTGAGAAACACTTGAAAAAAAATTGTGTGTCAGTCTACCGTTAGCCACGTCATCACATTTTTAACGGTGTTAGTTTTCGAGGACTAAAACCAAAGTTTCGAAAAGAATGAGGATCAAATTGTACCTTATTTTGAAAGAGGGACGAAAACCAGAAACGACCAATAGTTTAGGGACTAAAAATATATTTAACCCAAAAAAAAGTAAGAGAAAAGCTTTCGGTGCCTTAAGAAAAAAAAACAGAAAAAGGAATGACAGGAAAAATAGAAAAAAAATGGCAGGAATAAGGAGGGTGTTGGAATAAATAAATGTGTTGATAAAAGACTTAAATTTATGAGACTTTTGTTATTGTTACATGCTGTAAAAAAAGTATTTCTTATAAGAAAAAGAATAACATCATAATGACTTATTAAAAAAAATATATTTTTCTATATTCTCTCTTTTTCATAACAAACATGCACAAATGACATCAGCTTTGGTAAGAATAATGAAAAAAAAAATAAGATCATGATATTTTAATAATTTTAATAATTTTTTTTACAAGAGTCACTGTTTTATTGGTTTACATATTTCAAACATTCAATCATAAACTATCAATATAATGTTATAAAAAAGTTGTTTAAAAAAAAGTTATTAAAGAGAATTTTTTTTTTTCTTTAAAGAATAACTACAACCATTCTTTCAAAAGAATAACTACAGTCATTCTTTCCTAATCAATTCCTCTATTTTACGGATGTGAACACGTAATCCTTCAGGTAATGCGGCTGATGTCCAGTTCTCTTTGAAATCTCTAGTACACTCATGATGGGATAGGTTGGTACAAAATTAGTAGATGGGCTACTAAGTGGGGTAAGGATAATGGGCGCTGAGTTCCTTACATATCTCCTAAGTTCAAGAAGCACTTGTTGTTGAAGTTGCTTCCAAGCTTCCACAGTTAGCCTCTTATAATGACAAACCCTTTAACTAAACTAGGACGTGTATGTCTGGAGTGGTAGTCGATTTGTCCCACTTCCAATCCACAATAATAGTATGTTTATCCTCAATAATTGGAGGAAGGGATAGAGGAACAGAGGTTCCTTACGAGGACGAAGGAGACTTATGTCAAACACATTATGAATGCATGCCAATGGGGCAAGTTCTACTTCATAGACTCCTTCTCCAATTCGCTTAGTGATCTCGAACGGACCACAGAAACGTTTCAACAGCTTGACAGAATGGCTTGAAAGGTAGAAGGTGTGTTGCAAAGCCTAAAAGGAATCACTCTAAATTCAAAATGCTTATTATGGGTGCGAAAAGTCATTTTCTCTAACAGAGATTATTAAAATCTGAGAACAGATCCAATTTGGAGAACCAAGAGTGAATGAAGAGTGTCAACCATGAGAGTAAGAGCCAATGAACAGGGAAAAGAAGAAACCAGAATAATAGAGAATAAATTATCAGAGAGGAAGTAATACTTTTCTATATACTCCCATTTTACAGTAAGAATTATGGACAAAAAGAGTGATTACAATCATTCTTTCCTAACCGAAATCTCTTTTTTTTACTGTAACTGAACACATGACCACGTAATCCTTTAAGTAGTTCAACGTTAGCTTTTCATCTTTAAAAACTATTAATATTAATATAAATGCACAAAAATATTATGACAATAACATTTGTAAATAAAAGTTAATAATAATAATAATTTGTTTGTAAGGTAATTTTGAATTTTACTACATCAGAAAAATTAAACTTTTCATAAATTAAATAAAAAGTATTTGAATATTGTACTTAAAAGTATTATAAAAAAAAATTAATTTAGCTTTTGTTGTGATCTAACTTTGAGAGTTTTTTTTAATATGCTTTGACTTTTACAATTTATTTGGCTTTATCTATTCAAACCAAGTGCAAACACTATTTTCATAAAATTCTTTTAGTTAAGAAACTTTTAAACGCTTAAATTAATATTTTATCGTTTATAATTTAACTAAATTCTACTGTGTAAGTATAAATGTATATTTGAAAAGAAAAGTTGTTTCACCAAATTTTTTCAAACCCCACACTTGACAGTTGAATAGATCCTGAATAATATATTATATTGTGAAGATAAAGTCACCCAACTCTTTCATGTTCAATCAGTTTCATCATCATTTTTCATGTTTTGTTTCTTAATTATATTTTCAGCCTCTGGATAAGAACGAATTCAATTGCATTCAATGACCTCTTATCCCCATTCTGTATTTAATTTGAACATAAAAATCTTATACACTAATTGACACATAAGCTTTTTCAATGTACAATTCCAGATACACCCTTTTCCCCTGACATCCTTTTCTTCCCAAAAAAAATTCAATCCTCTTTTTGAACCTCACTTTCTCTCTAAATCATCACTCAAATCTTCTTATTCTTTCCTCTTAATTAGGTCAAGTAAGCACCTTCAAAGTCTTCATTAATGATACATCACTTTGCTGGTCCTTCTCACTATGCTGCATGTCTGCATCTTTGTTTCATCTCATCATGTCAATTCATTTTCTACTTTTTTTTTTCATTGGATTTATTATTTTATTTTCTCTGCTTTACACTCTTGAATTGAATTCCAAAGCACACCCTTTGCTAGTTTTAACTAAATCGTTTTTGTAAAATTGTTCATTACTTAATTGAAACAGCCATAAAAAAAAATTAATTGCAGAATATATCTTGTATATATTTATTTGTTCCATTTGCGACCTTGTTAACTGAAAGATTCACTTTGACGAAAAGTATGTGGAGTTTCCTTTCTGTCACTACAACCACCAATTTGACTTTTGGTATCTTATTGTAAGAAAGAATCTGTATTTTACCTTATTTAATTATGCATAAATACACTTATACGCAAGCATTTACAAAACAGTATTCAAAACAAAACTCAACATAAATAAAATGCATCCGATGTTTGGGGCAACATTTAACAACTCCGTTTTACTTCAAATTTAAGTCAAAAGTAAAAAAAAAATGCAGAAACTAATATATTTAACTTCCACGTTTACTGTCTGTAAATATACTGAAACAAAGGTTTTAAAATTGGTTACCAAAATTACATTGGTAGGAGTGAGACTCGATTCCAACGTCTTGGACAATTATTGTATTAAAATCTCGTAACAAAATAAAATGTACTTTATATATTTTTAAGCACTGAATTTTTTAAAATGTTTTCTATTCATCTATATTTTCTTTTGACATAGTTATTCGTAAATTTTAAAGTTTAAATAATATCAAATATTTTTTGTTAATTACATTCTTACTACTTTCATCTAATTTTTAACTAGTTCATACCCGTATAGGTATTTATATAAAGCAAAAATGAAAATATTTTATTATAATCAAGGAAATTGTTGTATATTTTAAGTTTCATAAAATCTTAAGATCATAAAAATAACGAAGAGCATGATAATTTAATAGGGAATTTGAATAGTTTTTGTTTCTCACAAAGTAAAAATTGAAACGATTAATTGGATTATTTAATTAAAATTAATTGTCAATAAAATTAGTAAACATTCGAGTCTGAAAACAAAAGATTGACAATTCACTCACGCACATAATTGGTAATACCATGAATACAGTTATTAAAGACAACTATAAATAAATAGAATTTTATTTATTTTCCAAGAACTAACCATTTTTAATTAAACTATATTTCCAAATCTCAGAGCTAGATTGAAAGTAATTTTTACATAAACTTGTGTATGAATTTTACATCAATACAAAACTATTTAACAAATTATTGATATAAATTAAAATTGGCATAATATATATTTTAAATATACTGAAATATTTAATTGTTTAATTTCAATGGAAATTTTCGTATATATTTTTTAATTTGAACTATTGATAAAATTAACTGAGTAGTAAATTTTAGAATGTGTTATTTATTGAGTAGTGTTGAGAGGGTTGCATTGCATCCCCTACTTTCCTTTCCTTGACAGCGTATGTTTATGATAATGGCGAAGTTGAAAATATTAAAACACATATTTTCCTCTTTTGGAAGAAAAGTTGGAACCAGTTAGAGGTAGCTATAAATGAAATTTCATATGCAAAACGCCAAAACGGTAACTGTCTTTTATAAGGGCTTTGGAGTTACCAGCCCCCTTTTCAACACTCATACTTTCATACTTAAACATAACAACAACACAACTTTCTCTGTTTGCTTTCCCAGAACAAGTTCCTTTCTCTTTTCTCTCTCTTCATTTGTATAAATTACAAAGATAATATAAAAGTAAATAGAATATTCCGCTAATATATATATGATTGCACATGAAACTTTGAATGGTCCCGTGAGAGTGAGTGAGATCTAGTTAGAGCGATTGGCAGATGAAGGAAAGAGAAGAAGCAGAGAAGAGAAGGTAATTGTTTCCTTTCTTCGCAACCCTAACTGTACGGTAACATGTGTCATCACCATCGTCCTCGAATTTCGTGCAAATGTTTATCCTTACTTCGCTTGCATCTGATCCACTTCAAACTTTTCGTTGCCTCTGTTATCTCTTACCTGACCTTTTCCATTCACTGAGGGTTTTCATCTCTTTCGCCTTTTCTGCTACGCTGTTTACTTCTTCTCCGTGATTTTGGAGCGGAGTTCTGTTTTGCGACTTGTCTTATACTGTTTCCACTGTTAGTAGTTAATTTGTTTTAACTCTTGAATGCTGTACTATTTGTTGCTCTAATTACTGCTATTACCGAGGGTGATGTGTTGATGATCTGATTTTTGTTTTTTTGAGGGAGTTTTCATGTGGATTTGGTTGCGTTTTACTTGTTTCCTTTCGAGGCTTAGTAGTGATGACGAATTCTCGAGTGATGAATGAGTGTTCTGCTTTTTAACTATTTTCTTGTGATTTTTTTTTTTTGTTTTGGTGCTAATGTTGTTACTTTGATCAACTTGATGGTGCAGGATGAGGAAATTCGAGTGGAGAAGTAATGATTATGGGTGTGTTTGTGAAAAGAGAATCGCCGGAGTTGTTTCTGAAGTTTGACGTCAATTGGACTGATTTTCAGTCTTGTTGACTTGATTGAGAACCTCAATTTTTTATCTTATGATCACAGCTGATAGTTGAATATTATTGCAAGTGCTTTTTTTAGCAGCTTAGTTTATATATTTGAAGCTGCTAACGTATCTGTGACTGTAATAAAAGGAATCTATTGATAGAGGTATAGTTAAGTTGTAGTAATGGAATTGTCTATGGGTCATGGAGAGTTTTAGCTACTTCAAAGTGTTTGTTACGATCTGGGTATCATATTCTTTTCAGTAGCTTCATTGGTGCTGGTATGATATCAAGGAGTAAAATGGAGGCAGAGAGATTGAGTCCCAACCACCCTCCTAGCTTTCTCCGTCAGTCACTTCCTGCTATTGTACCTATGCTTTTGATTTCTACAGGATATGTTGACCCTGGAAAGTGGGTAGCGACCGTTGAAGGTGGTGCACGGTTTGGGTTTGATCTGATGGCTTTCATGCTTATTTTCAATTTTGCTGCTATATTCTGTCAGTACATTTCTGCAAGGATTGGCGTAGTTACAGGAAAAAATCTCGCACAGGTATTTTGTTTTCCATTTCAATGATTTATAAAATTATGCTGTTGTAATGAGACTTCATTATTATGAAACGCTTCTGCACTCTGAAATGCTTTTTATCCAGCCTGATATTCACACCCTGTTAAAAGAGTACTTGCTCATTAGGAAGAACATTGAGAAGAAATCACTTTCACAAAAGAAAATGAACCCAAAAGAAAATTACTTGTGTGTGTTTCCTCTAATTTCTCCAAAATAAACCACATTATTTGAGTTTAAGAAAGATTTATTAGTGGTATTTTCCCAGAAAGCACCGACACCTCTGTAGAACGTGTGGGAGAATTTTTGGATACAATATCTGTTGAACACACATGTTCGACACTTGTCAACCATGTCAAAATAATAATAAAAAATCTACTTAGACATCTTGGACACCTCTTTGACACGAGTTAAGCATGAGTTAAAAGATGAGTCCACACCTATTTGTAACTAAACAATTTCTAGACACTATTATCATAAAAAAATTAAAAGAAAACAATTTATATTATAAATAATGCATGACTCGGCATATTTTGTGATGTTTGTTTTATAATACATGACTAGTTATTTTAACTACTAAGAGATATGTTTCTTAGAATTCTATTGTTAGGATTGTTGCTATAGGAAAACTGTACAACTTAACAAAATCGATTATACAGTGTACATTGCATAAATCTAATTCTCAATTAAGATTTTTTTTTTCATGTTGATCATATGTCAATGATACTTCATAGGTATTATCAATATTCTACCAATGAATCTTGTTAATATAATCTCTTTTTTACTTTTTGATTCTTAACAAACTTAGAAGTTTATAAAAAAATTGCACTTTTGCTAATAAAGATTTTATTTTTGGTTTCTTTAGTTTGAATCACTTGCAGTAGTACCATGTTTTTTCAAACTAATTAAGTATTTTTATATTTAAAATTAATTTTCATAAATGGAATCAATTAATTAGTTTTAAACCTCATTTGATTTAAAACATCCATTACAAAAAATCAAATTTCATTCAAAAATAAAATAAAAATCAGTATGTTACCATCTTCAAACCCTAATCTCACATTTTATAATTTTTTTAATTTTATCAAATTTCCACTGAATTAATAACTTTTAAACTCAGTGTAATTCATGTCCCCGATCTATTATAAGCGTCCAAATAGTGGGAAACTAAAGAAGCCCAAATTTGCTTAGTTTTAAAATTAGAGGGACTTAATTGATTAGAAAGAGGCTTGGGTGACTAAAATAACACAGTCTAAATCAAAAGAAAAAAAAAATACTATTAAGCTTTTATAGAAATGAAATGTGATCAATTTTCTCTTTCACATTTCCTTTAAGGGGAGTCTTTGAAGTAGGAAGTATGGATATTACATTTAATTATGGATTATTTCTTGCTTATTCCATCTTTAAATAATAACTAAATAGAAGGAATCAGATTATCCATTCCCCTCCCATAATAATTTCTTATCCCCACCCCTCACATTTTTTCTTATTATTTTTTCCTCAATTTTATTACCACTTTCAGAAACTAAAGAGTTTTTAACATTATTGGTATGAATTCAGTTATGAATAAGATCTTTCCCTTTATAAGGGGGAAATCTATCTTAATGTCTTTGATCCTCTAATGTAATATTGGAATTGAGGCAATGAGTAGGGCTGTCTAATGGTGATTTATAAGTGTCATTTACGAAACTTTCCCAAGCCTCAACTGTTTGAGCCATATTAGTTCACCAGTGGGTATGGCCATGACTTGATATTTTGATTTTGCATATGATCTGGCAACAACACTTAGAGTTTCCCATAACCTGATTACGATCACCGTCTTCATCAGGTGGTTTAGAACTAAATTCATATGGGTTAAACTTCCGCTTTTGGTAGAGAAGTTGAACAAATGGTCTCTGAGCTTTCGTCCCCGTATCCCATTCTTGGCTTTCAGCAGGCTTTGATCTACCCATATATTCTTCCTTTCATGGGGCTATCTCTCTACGCTAAGCTGGCAAAAGGGCTTTCAGAGGAAATGGGTGTAGAGGAGCTCGTGTATCTTGAGTCATAGGGCTCACCCCTCAAGACCCTTGCTTCTCTGTCAGCTTCTTGTCTCAGGGTCTATTCTAACTACCTCTCTGTGGGACAGACAGCTGGAGGAGCACTTTCTGAGTGCTTGGCCAGGGGTTCTTCATCTATCAAGAGAGGGTTTCCCGGTAATCAAGCTAGAAGTTCATTCCTCCCTTGCTTTGAAAACTTCTTAGCTTAGGAAGTCTCTACTCAGATGGGGATGGGTTTTATCCATGTCGTACTCCATTGACTCAAGAAAAGTAAGTTTAGAAGGTGACACCTTCGCTAATTGTCAAATTGCGTCTATCGGATAACTACTTTAATCAAAATTATCAGGTTCCTGAATGCTGGCAAAAGAGCTTATCAGGTTCCTCAATGGTGGCAAAAGAGCTTTGAGACTTCCTGCCCGAGGATAGAATGTGAATCAATAATGAATGCGATGATCAAAGAAGCGGCTAGAATAGGTCAAAGTTACAACCGCTACCGCCAGTAGGATTTCCTTGCTTTACTAACGAGCTAACCTACGAACGCTCCGTGGGCTACGGGAAGGGACGAGTTAAGGAACAAGAGTAACAGACTACGTGTACGTCATACTACACAAGACAAGCAAAGACAGGAGGCCATTTACATAAGGCGCGGCTTAAGTGCCATTACCAACTCGCACAAGCTTGCTAGCCCTTCTTTTTCTGTGGAGCGTACCAACCTTGATTAACATCGAGTTGTGTGTTTCGCTGATGTCTAATGAGGCGCAACATCAGTCTGACAAGGGTCTGGATCCCAAGGCTCTTCTTAGTCTAACATGATTTGACAGGGTTAAGCTTATGTCACTCGGATGGGAAGGCGTAAAGTAAAGTGGAAAAGCGATGGGCTGGCTTAGACGGCAAACAAGCGAAGAGATTCACCAAGTCGGTGTGACAGTATGAGTAGGTTAGACTAGCGGGCAAAGTCTAGCTGCCTATTCGATAAATGGGGATATGTTAATTATTGCATCTCAAAGCCCTTCGAAGAGAGTTAAGAACTAACTTATCACGCTACCTGCAAAAGAGATATTGAGAGGATTCAGTTAGTTCAGTTTCCCCACTAGTCCTTCATATTTTTCAATATTTGAGAACGATTCCACCTAACTTAGCAGACGTTTGACATTAGGATCTGCGTACATGCTTAACTTTGCTTCTTCAAAGATGTCCATTGCATACTTTCATTGGAGATTGACAATGTCATTGTTGGATCATACCACCTATATACCAAGGAAATATTGATGTCAACATATTTGGTTTGCAAATGTTGAGTGTGGTGATACTTTACTTTTGCAATGCTATGGTGATCACTTCTTGTAATCACTATGTTGTTAATATACACGATAAAGTGTATACGTTTTGTTATTTAATGACAATACCAAATCACATGACTCTGTTGAGCGACAATACTAAATCGGCTAAACATTGTCTTTAAGACCTTATAATTATATTCGGAGATGGCAAAGTAGTTTGAAATACTCTCCAACTGAAAAAATCAAGAGGTTGCTCCATATATACCTCATGAATGAGATCATAATGAAGAAAGACGTTTTAATGTGAAGTTGATAAAGAGGACACTGACTAATTGCAAACATGAGCAAGAATAATTGAATCGAGGCAATCTTAGCCAATGGAGAGAAGTTACCTCCATTATCCAGTTCAAAGACTTGAATATAATAATACCCTTTGGTCTATAAACAATCCTTAAGCCATTTAACTTTACCATTACTGTTCTAATAATGTGGGCTTATGACCTAGCTTAGTCCACCAAATTGGTTTATGAGGTGAGGATTGCTTAACCAAGGACTATATTGGTCTTTAGTTATCATAAGATCTCAACATACCTCATCATGTCGACTAGACATTTGGAGCATGGACAAATATGAGTGACCTAGTAACAGCAGCCCCTCATGCCTAGGATAGACATCTAGAGTGTGGACATATACTATGGGTAGCTCAATAACAATTATAGGATAGAGTAATTCCATTTTATAACTAGGTATCTTTCTGGATCCTCAGTTAACTCCACAAATAAGGTGATGTTATTTTACATAAATGCATACTTACATAAAGCTTCACAAGTATCTTATGATAATTCTAATTACAAAATTTACATAACCTAACATGTTTGCTGAGTTGATTACTGGGTTTATAGTTGATTTATGTTTGGTATTTCTGCCTCTAACTAATGCAGTCAAGCTCACACTTGCTGCTTAAAAAGCAAGCTCAGATAAGGCTTCTTGCATGTTCTTAACTAGGGTGTTTTGCTTATAGACTAACGTCACTTTCTTTATCCAAAGATTTGCAGTGACGAGTATGATACATGGACATGTATGCTCCTTGGAGTTCAAACAGAACTTTCAGTGATAATGCTAGACCTTAACATGGTAATATTCTTGATTAACCTCATGTTTCTATGCTCTTCAACAATGAATTTAATTTATATATATAAAACTTTTTGACTTGAAGCTATGATTTACCTGTTTTGCAAGATCTTGGGCATGGCACAAGGGTTAAATCTTATTTTTGGATGGGACTTGTTCAGTTGTGTCTTTTTAGCTGCTACTGGTGTTGTTTTTCACATACTTCTTGCAGTCTTACTTGTAAGTATCATCATTTGCTTATTCATAAATCTCTTTAGGACAACACTATACTTATCAAATTGCTTTGTCTAGGACATTGAGAAGGCAAAATTCCTAGGCAAGTTTGTTGCAGGCTTTGTATTGGTTTCTTTTATACTTGGAATGCTTGTCAATCAACCGGAAATTCCATTTTCCATGAATGGAATATTAATAAGATTGAGTGGGGAGAGTGCATTTGTGCTAATGAGTCTTCTAGGAGCAAATCTTGTACCTCACAACTTTTACCTGCATTCCTCTATTGTACAGGTATTATTTCCTCTCATTTTCCTCTATGCATATACAATGAAATGTCTGCTTCCGTGGCATTCTGCAAAAACAATATCTTTAATTTGTTTGTGGATATTTTTGCTCATCATATTCTGCTTGTTCATAAAGGAAAAACCTGCCTCTTGCAAAATGGTAACAGGCTTTCGTGGGCAGTTGCCTTGCTGCTGGACTTCTGAAGGTTTACTATCTTTGATAAATCTTATGCTCAAGTTGACAAGTACTTTGAGCAATGCTGGACTTTAATTTCTTTTTATTATGGAATGATACACTTGTTATTTGTTATTATTCGTACTTGATTGTGTATACTTGCAGCAAAAACGTTGTGTTGTGAGTGGTTATCTACCAAGTCTCTCTGCCCTTACATCATCAGATTGTTTTGTTATCTAATTGAGTAATGAAAATTATACATTCAATGTTTGAACACTTTATGATTTGATTGTGGAAACCAAAATGGCTTTGAGCTCTCTTGCCTCAAGCTCTACAAGTAAACTATTGGCCCTTTTGGCTGTCTTATGTTTGTGTTCATTGATTACTTATTATTAAGTTCCTTCAGTTTAATGTTATTCATGCAAGCACCCTTGTGAAGGGACATGATGGCATAGATATTATTGCTTTGGATTGTAATATAATATTAGATGCCATGAAGTTGGCCCAATGGGATTTCATTGGGGCATTTGTTTCCATGAAGCAGGGATGGTTTTAAAAAGGGATTTTATGCAGAAAATAAAACGAGCATCCTTTATTACTCGATATTGTTGTTGGGGGGAATGCATCATTCACCAATGTTAGTAATGGTTTTGAGTAGTTCCTATTACATGTTTCTAGATAGGCGGCCGACCTCAATTCTAAAAGAAGGGTTAGTAACTGATAGTTTGTCTTCTATAGTATGGTTTGGACAAGTGCTCCATCCACTGTTTGTCGCTTGCATGGGAGCCTGTACACTTCGTATGATTTTTCTAGAAACAGTTTTTTGAAATTGTGAATATCTATGATTCGTTAAAAAAAGACTTTTCACTCTTAGAATTCCGTAGAACTATTTTATTAATCATTTAGATTTTATTCCATTGAACACTTTGATCTATGCTTTTTAATTATTTTACTCTAAGGATGTTCTTCAGTAGTGCCTTAGATGACGAAGGTATAAAATGAACTTACTAAATTTTAATGGCATACTTTAAAACGGAAAGAAAAATAGTTTGTCGCATATTCTCAAAGTGACATTCCTTTACAATTTTTATTTATGCATATAGATCTAGTCCCCTGTATATTTCTTTTGAGTTTAGGCTATAAAAATGTTTCTTTTGATAAAATTAGAGGTTCTTAATGTTTTATTTAGGTTTGTCTTTGATCAACCATCACTTCCTATACACCTTTGATCATTTGTGCACCTAGGTGAAAAAGATTGTACATCATGTTTTATGTCAATCTGAATTTTCTTTTTCTTTTCTTTTCAGTGGCATCAGGGACCGGCAAGCATTTCAAAGAATGCTTTGTGTCATAACCATTTTTTGGCCATATTATGTGTTTTCAGTGGTCTTTATCTGGTAAATAATATGTTGATGACCTCCTCGGCAAATGAGTTCTACAGTACAGGGCATGTTCTGCTAACTTTCCAGGATGCATTGTCACCAATGGAACAGGTCTCCTTTCCCTCTGCAATTGGTTTACAAAAGAATACTTACAGCATCCTATTTGCCGTTTGTGTTCTGAATGATAAATAAATATATAATAATCCTGAGATTCTTATGCAGGTCTTACGTAACCCAATAGCTCTACTTGGGTTTTTACTCCTTTTGTTTCTTGCAAATCAAATCACCGCATTAAGTTGGAGTTTAGGTGGAGAAGTAGTAGTGCAAGGTTTCTTAAAATTGGATATTCCGGGTTGGCTTCACTATGCTACAATTAGAGTGATTACTGTTTTGCCTGCCCTTTATTTTGTCTGGAGTTCAGGAGCCGAAGGGATGTATCAGCTACTATTATTCACTCAAGTATTGGTAGCTCTACAACTTCCATCTCTAGTGATCCCCCTTTTTCGTGTAGCTACATCTAGATCAATAATGGGTGTACACAAGATTTCCCAGTTTCTGGAACTTTTGGCATTGATCATATTCATTGGGATGCTTGGCTTGAATATTGTATTTGTGGTAGAAATGATGTTTGGAAATAGCGATTGGGCTAGTGATTTGAGATGGAATGTGGGGAGTGGTGTATCTATCTCATATTTAGTTCTTCTAACAACTTCCGTTTTATCGTTATGTTTTATGCTTTGGTTAGCAGCCACACCTTTGAGATCTGTCAGCGTTCGATTAGATTCTAAGACGTGGAACTGGGATATGCCAAACACTCTGCCTAATCCACCAATTATTGGCGAGAAATCTTATTTAACTGAAACAAGATGTCGTGAAGATGAACCTATGCATGTACAGGAACCCACACCAGCTGTAACAAAGACCTTGGAGTACTCTGATGTATCACATCCAAGTTTTCATCCTGCTCTACCTAAATCTGTAATGGAACCTGAACTCCACGTGAATGTTGCAAGGAAGAATCATTCTGCTATGTTGGCTTCCACATCAGAGTCTGAAGTTGTAACAACAGTGATTAATGAGATTTCCCATTCTCAATTGGAAGACACCAAAACTATAACAATGGAAACAAATAACCCAATTGAGAAAACTATGGAAGTTGAAGGAGATTTAAATGCTGAAAGGGATGATGATGATGATGCTGATTCGTGGGAAGCTGAAGAACCTTCCGGATTTGTGTTAGCAAATGTACCATCTTCAACATCAGATGGCCCTGCATCATTCAGGTGTCTTAATGGAAAAAGTGATGAAGGAGGGAATAGCTTTGGAAGTCTTTCGAGAATAGAAGGCTTAGGGCGTGCAGCAAGGCGTCAGCTAGCTGCTGTTCTTGATGAATTCTGGGGACAACTATTTGATTTATATGGCCATATAACCCAGGAAGCAAAGGCTAACAAAATTGACCTTCTGCTGGGAGTGGGTGTCGATTTAAGACCTACCAGTTCTTTGCAAAAAGTGGATGTATGTAGAAAGGACTACTCTGAATACTCAGGATCTTTAGGAGGTAGAGTTTCTAACACTTCAGCGAACTCTGATCTATATGATTCTTCCAAGCAGCCTTTGGTGCAATGTAATTCAGAGTCTTCTTATGGCCTCCTAAGGAGTAATTCTTCAATGCGGCCAGATCACATCCAATTATTGGATGCATATGTGCAGAACTCGAGCCACAATCTCCTTGATTCTGGTGAGAGGCGCTATTTCAGTGTACGTAATCTACATTCATCAGAGACTCGGGATTATCAACCAGCTACCATACATGGTTATCAGACTGCATCTTATCTTAGTCGACTTGGTAAAGACGGAGATTCTGCTAACCTAAATGGTCCAGTGGACTTGTCATCACTGAAATCCCCTTCGATAGTTAATGCAAAGTACAGGGATTCTCTTGCGTTTGCTTTGGGGAAAAGGTTGTGTAGTGGTCCAAGTGTAGGCCAACCCCCAGGGTTCCCAAAAGTAGCTATCACTAGAGATTGCCAATTACAATCTGAGAGGTCTTATAACGATTTTTACCCTTCTGGATCTGTAGATAATACACTCAACTCAGTTAATACTAAAAAGTACCACAGTTTGCCAGACATTTCAGGATACTCCATCGCCCAAAAGTCTGCTGATGTGTCTGATAAAAATGCTCCATGGGATGGTTCTGTTGGACATGGATCTCATGCTAGTAGGACTTGTTATGAAAGATCACCATATTCAAATTCTGGAACAAGAACAGGGAGTCATTTGGCCTTCAATGAACTCTCTTCATCTAAAGCTTACAACGAGGCACTCTCTTCACAGTTGAGCTCTGGTTTTGTTAATGGATCTGTACGGTCTAGACTGCCTTGTGAGCAGTTTGGGCCTGAGAAAAATAGTAATATTGTTATGGAAGGTGTGGGAAATAGGCCTAATGCAATAGTTCAAGAAACTACTTCATTTGTGGATATAGAGAAGAAACTTCTTCTGTCAGTTAGACTTTGCATTGTGAAGCTCTTAAAATTGGAGGGTTCTGAGGGGTTGTTTAGAAAGAATAGTGGAGCTGATGAGGATTTGATTGATTGTGTCGCCTCGAGGGAGAAGGTTGTTTGTGAATTTGAAACTAGGGAGACGAATCAAGTCAATCATGTGGGTGAAGCTCACTATTGTCTTTCTGATAGGAAACTTGGTTTTTCTTCGTCTCCAGTTCCTAATTGCGGGGAGGGATGTATATGGAGAACTGATTTAATAATAAGCTTTGGGGTGTGGTGTATCCACACTATTCTTAACCTTACACTTGTGGAAAGCCGGCCGGAGCTTTGGGGGAAATACACCTATGTTCTCAATCGCCTCCAGGTAAATTATCTAAACTGTTTCCCATCTTTAAGTAATTAGATCAGATCAATTGCCTTGCCTGTATAATTTCTCCACTACATTGGCAGTTCTGTATTTTTTTACTTCTGATTTTGGTCTATGAGCAGGGCATCATTGATCCAGCTTTCTTTAAGCCTCGTAGTCCCTTGGCCCCATGCTTTTGCCTTCAAGTTCTACCCGCGCATCAGCGAAAGTTAAACCCCCATCTTTCAAACGAGATGCTACTCCCAACTGCAAAACCCAGCCGGGGCAAATGCACAACTGCATCAGCGTTACTTGAGCTTATCAAGGATGTGGAGCTTGCGATCTCAAGCAGGAAAGGACGTACAGGAACTGCTGCAGGTGATGTTGCTTTCCGTAAGGGGAAGGAAAATTTGGCGTCTGTTCTCAAACGGTACAAGCGGAGGTTATCTAATAAGCCACCGGGCACTAATGAAGGCACAGGTTCACGAAAGACCCCACGTTAGTACCTTACAACCAGTAGCATTTGCATTGACAGAATCGGTGCTAATTGAGCTGTTTTGTAATTTACTTTTTAAAGCAGCTCATGCTATCAAGAAATGTTGTCCCCGTGTATCAATTTCCGTGCTCATCATGCAGCAAATTTAATCCAATTATATTACATACACGTTGGGCAAGATGTAATGTATGCAAGTGCTGCAAAATCTAAGTAAAAAATGGTTAGATGAAAAGTTGGTCATACCTTTTTTGCTCGTTTTTTTGGTTAAAAACCTCACCTCTGCATATAAGGCTGGAAAGATAATGTTTTGAAATAATTATTACGTCAAGAGCGAAGTCTTACTGAGATGTTAATAACACACTTACAATAATAAAGTTTAGTTTTACATAACGAGGGCAATTTTTGTAACATTGAAGAGCCATACATGAATGTGATGACTTCAATGCAATTTACATCAAGACTTTGACTTTGGTTATAAATAAGTTGAATTGAAGTTAATATAAACAATGACAAATTTTATTTATGTTTATTATGAATTTGAGTATAACTTGGGTATTTTATTAAAAAAAATCTTGGGTTTTTCTTAAAGGTAATGGAAAATTTATACTAAATTATCTTCTAATATTTGTAATTTACAATTATAAATTTTAAATTTTTCAGAAAAATTATACCACAAATTAAAAATAATAAAGTCATGTAAGTATTATAGGAGCAAAAATAATTATATAAAACCTCAAACTTCAAAAATATTTATAGTGAAACTGTCATATGTAAGCATGATTTGAGTTTAAATTGCATTGTATTGAAGTTCTTACATGGATAACTTCTACTCAAAATCAATTTAACCGAAGTCGTCATGTCAATGCATAACTTAAATTCAACTTAATTTTTGGCAGAAGTCATTTCAATCCAATTACGACTTTAATTGAAATTGTTTTCAAAAAAATTGTCATTACCCAATGACATTTAATTCAACTTAATTTTTGACAAAAATTATAACACTCAATCATAACTTTAGTTAAAATTATTTTCAAAAGAATTGTCACAACGACGACTTCAGTGTAACTTATTTTTTAAAAAGTTGTACATACTGAATACAACTTAGTTTTGGAAGAATAAGTCTAACATGATGACTACTTCACCTTAATTAGAAATTTAAGCTATAATTAAATAAAAGTAATATGATAGAAGTCGTCTTTAACTCTTACAACTTCATATTAACAAAAGAATGAAAAAGTCTTTAGTTGTTTTCAAGACTTTATATTCAAAAGTCACAACTGTTTCCTGATGTCGACAACTTTTTTAAAACGAAACCATACATACAAGACAAGACTTACTTTAAATGTTTTTTTTTAAAACAACCCAAAAGTGTAATATCAAAAACAAATTAATCTACTTTCGGAAGAAAAAAAACCTAAAATTTACTACGAGATTATTAGTATTAACGGAATTGAGGTTGATCCCACAAGCAGGATTGTTTAATCTAGAACCAAAATAATAATAGTTCGTTTACAATTGCTTGAGCCTATATATGATGCACTTGTGTTCATAAATTTCGATTCAGAGCTGACATTTTATTTGGCAACGGAAACCTTCTATTGCTTAATACGCTAGGATAACTGTAACTCTACCGTTTTTGTAAGAACTAATTAACTAATTCAATGGAATTAAGAAAACTTAGATATTAATATTAAGTTTATCTTTATTTATTGATTTTAAATCCCTGAATATTAATTATTAATATCTTTATGTGCATTGGTATTTATTTATATTTAATTTTACTTAATTTTGAAACTTATACACTTAAAAGCATTTATTTTATTAAAAAAATTCAAAGTAAATTTCGTAAATCTGTATACAAGACGGAAAGGTAGTTCGTGTAAATTACTCCATCATGTATTATTATACATAATTGTGATGGTGTTGCAATGACTTTGGATCCAAATTAGAGAAGGTTGCGCTTATCAATCATCATCAGATTCCCAAGCGAAACCATCTTCACTCATTCACTCAATCGACCACCACGGATTCAATCTTCAATAGTGCTTTAATTACACCCTAATCTATACGTTTCAAACTGTCCAACAGTGTTGTGACACGTAGAATACGCTTCACCGACGAACCGTGTCACAAGCTTGAATCTTATTGCTGCTCCACCACTTCCATTCTCCTAACCAGATCGCATCTATTTCTTCCCTTCAATCTCTCTCCTCGCTCTCCACCTTCTGTTTTGCAGAAGCTGCTTCCTTCACTGACATAATCGCTAACAGGTACGCGTTATGTAATTTCTTAATTCAATCTCTTTCTTCCCATTCAAACAATATCCAATAAATTATCATTTCTTGATTCTCAATTTATCTGTTCTTCCAATTTTGGAATAAAACCCATATGTCGGTCAATCATGCTTCAGTTCAGTGCAGATTTCTATTTTTCTAGTTTGGAAAATTAAATCACGAATATTCTTTTAGTTCTGAGGGATGAAGATGTCATGTCGTAGGTATAAGTTGTAAGTAAAGACCAAAGAAAAGTAAAGTTAAGAGTTCAGAATGGGGTTCGTGGTGGTGATATCATTGCCGTTAATATTGATCATCTTGATATTGGCTTTGGGCTGTTACCTGTGTGGCCGGGCCAAGGGTCGGCGACAAAACCCACCGCAGTATGGGCCTCCTGCTCCTCCACCACAGGCCCAACCCAAATAATCCTACCCTTTTCTCGTTACTGTTGCTACCCTGTGGTTTGAGTTTGTTCATCATCAATACTGCAGCCACTTTGGATTGGAGTTTGAAAATTATTGTGTAATTATATATATATATATATATATATATATATATATATCAACACATTCAGGTTTTTTCTTGGTATCTACACAGCTGATGAAAAACTAGTACAATGGAATGCTACGGTTCATAGCTTAATCTTGAATAAAATAGTAGAGCATTGAAATTTGTTTTCACATTAGTGGGATATTTGGTGATTAAATATTGCCGTCCTGGTTAATTAGTTACTCATGTAATTTGTTATTTGATTTTCATGTAGGTTATAGTTTGTTTCATTTAATTTCTTGCCATTTCTTGCCACTCTGGTTATGATTTTGTCGCATATCCAAAAATGTTAGGCGGTAGTTACCAATTAAGAATGTCATTAATTGATGTAATTAGAGATACATCATCTAACATAAAAGATCTATGTTGTAACACTTATATCTTTTCAAAGATAAAAATAAAGAATTTTAATAAATACTTAATGCAAGATAAATTAACCAACTAATGAACATCCATTTTGAACTTAGTTTAGTGTTGGTTAGTTATCAACCAAATGTGATTGATGCACCATTGGAGTATGCATATGAAACTTTAAAGACTCTGAAAGTTCAATTGGTGAAAAAAATATTAATAAAAGAGAAACACTTTAGTTAATATAAGTGGTTTTATTAGAGTAAGCAAATTATAAGAAAATTAATTATTCATGGTTAATTTTATTTGTGCTAAGAATGAAATAAATGGTGATTCTTAAAATAAGAGCCTTTATGAAATAACATACATAGTAGAGGTATGCATAATCAAACAAGCAACTAGTAAGCCAATTGTTGACAAAATTGAAAATTAACTAAATATTCATCATGTTATGACTAATACTAGGATGATTATTATCATAAAAGAGACTTTGGATTTATGTGAGAATATTTATAGTAATGAGAAAAGGAGAAGGGAGAGAGAAGATAATAATTATATAACATGAGCATGAATTGAATTTTATTATGTTCATGGAGTGTTAAAAAACAGTCCTATATCAATTTATAATATAGACTCGTATAGAGTCTCTTTGTCATTTTTGAAAGATTTTATCTTTAAGATGCTTGCAAAAAAATATTCAAGACATCTCAGACATCCTTATTGATCTAAATATATGTTTCTTTAAAAGTTATTTTGGTAAAAGTTATTTTGGTAGTTAATTGTCATCTATTGTATGATAGGATGAGAGCAATTCCATTTTTGTGATTTATAATATCTTGGATGTGGAAAACAAAAATAATTATAAGTTTTTTTTTTCTGAAGGAGAACTTAAGTTACTATGTTTATAATAAATGAAATTTATTGATAGGGTAACAAAATCATATGATATCATTGATTTATTTGGGAAGTTGGATGTTGAGAAAAGTGTCAGCCTTTTAAACTTGTGTAAAGTAACTTACTGATGGAAGCATTAACTCGCACACATAAAAATAATTTAACGACTAAAGTGAAAAGAAAAAATGAACAACTCATCAGTGTCTTGGTTATAACCTTTTGAACCATTTATATATTGCACTCAAATATAAAATAATAATTAAAATGATAAATATTAAAAAGTAATTTTAAGCTTAGCTTATCTCTAAAAAAGGGAAAATTATCTTTATTTATACATTAATGTATGTTTTTAGACATATTTGTGAATGGTTTAATAATGAATGGTATAATAAAATCAACCAACTTCATTAAAATAGTTTATGATACCATATTAGAAAAAAAAAAGCATTAAAGAATTCATTTGTAAAGTAAAAATCATCTTTACTTATATACTTTAATTAAGTAAATTAATGTTAATGAATTAACAAAGATACATGTCATTGAGTTCAAATATAGCCATAAGATACAAGAAAAAAGTTATATTCCATCCACAAAGTAAAAAACTCAGTCAAAACAAATATGGCGATACATTCTTGTATTTTCATTGGATACATTGATTCCCAATAAGAGAAGAATTGGACTATAATGATAAACTTTTATTAAATACACTTTGGATTTATATATAATATATGTTGACATTACTGATTTTTATTCAAATAATTCTTTTTTATACTCTAAAATATTATTGAACAAATGAATGGTTTAAATATTTGATCTCTTATAATTAACGCTTAAACTTTTTTGTTCATATTATATGTAGTATAATTTTTGTAATTCATATCTAAAGTTAAGTTTTATTCACTAAAATATTTCTCAAATTTTAAATGTTTAATAAAAGAACAATGCTAAAGTGAGTAAATAATATAGTTAGATAAAATGTTGATATTTCATTTTTTTTTTAACTCGGGTTTGATTTGGTTTTATTTCAATATAAAATATCAAGTTTAATTGATTTAGTTTCAGTTGGTCTTTTGAATAATTTTCAATTAATTCAAACCAAAAGTGTGGAAAAACACTAGGTCTTGTCAATATATCTTCGACTTCTTGGAAGTCTAAGTATACT